CGCAAAGAATTGTATGCATACCAGAGCCCATCTCAAAGCGTAATGTATTCCACGTGAATATCAGTTAGTTCGGTTCCTACACGGACGAAGGGTTGGACGGCGGACACAAACGGAAGCCCGAGCAAAAAGATGGCAGTAGCGTACACGTGGCACGAACAATAAGCGAGTTTCGGGTATATACGTGACGCGGCTGTGTCGCATCAGCGATGCATGAAATTCAAATATCGTTCTTTAAAGCGCACTGTCCTCGGTTCTTTTGCCCAGCCGACATTTCAAACGTTTTCGACGCCTCCGCGATGTCGTTTGCGACGTGACAACATGCAGCTGCGACACGTGCGACGTCTGTACACTGTACACAGGTCTCCGAGATGCTCGAGACGTGAAAACGTCTCGTTCGAGCAGTTGTTGAACGAGCTGCTGGAAATCTCGTTGCAAACGAGACGTCTCAGATGTATACACGTGTATAATTGTTTACCAGGTTGTTTACGATCGGACTTGCCTTCTCTCGTTCGTCGAGATTTCGTTTCACACTTTTAACTCGATCGCGCTTGGATCTGTTCGGAGAGATGGAAGAAGCAAGGGGTTTCGCGGAGAATTCCGCGACGTTTAGGATATTTCACGGGGACGAACGAATAATTTTAAGTTGCAGGAGTAACTGCACACCGCGAGAAAACCCAAGGGGAACGCAAATGCAGCCGACTAATGACCATGCCAGGAGTAAATCCAACAGAACTCTCTCCGTGCTACCGGGATAGTAGTTTAACAATATAGTGGGCAACGTAATGCCGGAATTTCTGCGGAATGGCTCTACGAACGGGGTTCTAATTCGCACGCAAATAATTGCGCATAAACGAGCGATGCGACGCAATAATTTATGCAAATTATGAGGCGTCACCTGCCGCGGTGTCCCGGTGTAAGACTCTTGCGGCCCCCCGCGAATAGATCGCTTTCACGCCCGCTGGAATGTGTCTTGTTTTGAAGGATTAATGGAAACTGTGTTCATTGTGCTGAAAATTTAGAATCTCCCCGCGGGGGTTTGTGTTGATAAACGTTGCTTCGTTAAATTCTTTGCAGTTTAACGCTGTTTCGTTGTTCGAGACTGAAGACGAAACATCGGTGCAGACTATATTTTTAAAAAAGGAACATTCAATTTTTATTTTTTTTTTTTGAATCTTCATCACTTTATCACTAGTACGGTGCAAAATATTTACATTGCACCAATATTAGCGTAGACTACATTTAAAGAAAAAGTGGAAAATACAATTAACTCCCAAGCGTTTCCCCATTATTTATTTTTTTTTAAATCTTCATCACTAGTACGGTGCAAAATATTTACATTGCACCAATATTAGCGTAGACTACATTTAAAGAAAAAGTGGAAAACACAATTAACTCACAAGCACTTCCCCATTTCTACGTACATTTTTATTTTTATTTATTTAACGTCATTATCACGCGTAAAGTGTAAAATGTTTACACGGCACCAATATTATCACACCTATTCCATTTACATTGTAGCACGCAACCTAAGCCATTCATACTTCACCGTGCACCCAGCCACATTGTAACCTACACCACGTACTCTACTTCATTCACGGTACACCATGAACCTTGCACTCTGCACCATCTACCCCGGTTCCATTCATAATACACCATGCACCCTGCACCCCATACCGCGTACATATACTCTATTCCACTCACACTGTGCACCCTGTCCCATTCGCCGTGCACTATGCACCATGCATTATCGGCCACGCAGCATTCATTATACACTATTCATTAAGTGCGACGTATAATGCACGATACATTATGCACCGTGCACTGTACGCCATTCGATACTTTATACGGCATAATTCATCCGCTGAAATTGACAATAGACAAACGATCAAACAGAATTCCTCGATAACCGATCGTATCAATAAAACAATTAATCTCGCACACGCACAGTTTACATTCCAAAAAGAGCTTCGAGTAACAAATACATAATACATTATTACCTCGCGATATATTACATCACGGAGAGATGTCACGTGCTGGAATTTGCGCCCGTGAATCGAATTCATTAGACGATGGGAGAATATCGATAGGCGCGTGCGTGTGTTCTCCACGCAGCGGCGGCTCGTTTTATCGCGCCATATTCGTGCGTGAAATCGAAACGGGCAACGCGAATGTTGCATACGTAAAACGCGGTTTCCTCGTAAACGGGTCGTCGCCGTTTCGACGTAACGATGGCTCTACCTCCGAATCGCACGAGCTCTCTCTCTCTCTCTCTCGCGTCGGCTTAACGCGAAATCGATCGAAAGCCCGGAGAGCCGGGGCAAAAAGGAAGGGCCACGCGGAGAAACGGCCGCGAAACGACGATTATCGCGGCGGGGGAATTGATTCGAACGAGTGTTTCGATCGGGGGCCCGAACCGTTCGCCTAACCGTTCCGGCAAATTGGAATTCCTTTAATTACCCATATTTCCCGAATTATTGAGAATTAATTGAATGTGCCCATCTGGGGCAAATTTGGACGTTGCTGTTTTACGCGTCCTTTATTTTATCGCGCTGCAGATTTTTCTTTGCTTTTTTTTTCCGTGGGAAATATGCTACGTCGAGTATTGGTAGATTTGTGCGGTAATTAGAGGGATATCGAGAATTTTCATTCGCAGAGTGAGCCGATTTAAGAATAATCTGTGGTAGAATTACACTCTGTTGTGTTAATTTTCAAAATTTAACACTTTACCGACCGGTAGCCTATTAATCAGCTTTTTGCCGCCAACGCTTACCGACCGGTAACCTATTAATCGTTTTTTTTACCGCCGACGCTTACCGACCGGTAGTCTATTAATTCGGTCAAAGTTTATTTAACATTTCTATAGGTATAAGAAAAAGAGCATATATTCCCGCGCGATAGCCTAGAGTCTAAATAGAGTCGGTGTCAATCTGTGGCCGAGTGAGCGGTCGGATGTGCGTAGGATGATCAACCGCTACCGGTCGGTAAAGTGTTAATTATTCGGCTTAAATTTCAAGAAAATTGAGCAACGTTTAATTAAATGTCACGAAGACACTCCGATCGACACTTACTTAATCGCGACGATGGTGAAATTTGCATTGATTTAAATAGCTACAAATTTGGTCCATTTTCTTCGGTTACCATTTCTACACGAAAAGTGTGTTACATTGAGTATTATCAAATTTATGTGAATTCCACGAAGAATTTTAATTCACAGTGTCACTCGAATCGACAAAAGTCCCTGGTACAATTAGCCATTAGAAAGTTGCGCAACGTTCAGCTAAACGACGCGAATAATGCGCGATTGACACGTATTCAATCGTACGACGATGGTGAAATTCAGATTGGCCTGAGAGAATAAGTTTAAGTGGCTATAAAGTTGGCCCATTTTCTTCGGTTATCTCCGAGATTCAGACGGTGAAACGTCAACGTTGAATTCACGCGAGTTAGAAGAGCGAAGCGCGATCGTAACGCTTTTTAACGATTTCACAGATACACGAAAAGGGGTAGTAGTACGTTGCTCTTCTCCACGAGGAAGATCCTTAACGTGGACCATAGGCAACGGCGATTCCTCTCCTCGCTGAATACGTTATTGCCAAGCACGCTCCGTAATTAACCCGTCATTCCGATAACCAATTCGATAAGACGATTATCTCGACGTGGCCAATTAGAAAACGTCTGGTGGCTGAATTGAATGAACGAGGCTTTTAGTTGCTCATAAATCGACCTTATTTCACGGTGGAGTGAAATCTGCCTACAATATCACTCCCGCGCAAACTCGCCCCTTTAACTGCTACTGCGAATCCAAATTGCGAAACGTCCCGTTAAGAACGAATTAGAAGAAATTACGCGACAAAAGTGTGCGTATAGAATGAAAAGAAGCTCGTTATAGTTGTAAAATATGGACCGCAATTCACCTCGCGATAAATACCAGCGTTTCATTCTTATGAGCGATTAATTTACACACCTACGGCAACCTTTATATACCCGTGGCTGGCGTGAGCTCGTTAAATAAATTTTTAACGCGTGAAAAAGTGTTTGAAAGAAGGAAAAGTGACGGTGGAGATTCGAAAGAAAAGCCTGGTGATCCGTGTGCGCGTACAGGAATTTCGCATCGGCCGAAATAATTCCGCGAGAGACCAAGCGAGAGGGAGAGAGAAAGCTGGTTTAAACCAGCGCTAATAACGCGCCGTTTCATCATCAGCCTTCCGAATGCTGAAGGGCTGGTGCTCTGTGTTGCTCGCAACAACGAAAGTAGGTGAATTATTCCGGCCCGTTTGAAAGGATCTCGCGCGCTCGTCGAAAGATCTCCTCCCGCTCCCGGTTTTCCGTCGTCGTCGTCGTCGGTCCGGCGCGAAACGCGCAAAAATACGGAAATACAAGGCGGCGGGAGCGGAAAAGAGCCGGAAGGAAAGGAGGCCGTGTTACACGACAGGGTTGAAAGAAGAAGAAAAAATCGTCGGATGGTTCTTCTCGTTCTTCAGCGTTGAAGAAGGGAGGACTGTGAGAAACACAGCGTGGAGAGAAAAAAAAAGCGTGTCTCGGTGTCTAAATTTCTCTCTCTCTCTCTCTCGTAAGAGATAATCTCATTAACGAGAAGTCGTCAGACGATGCGATATCGTGAAAGCTCCGCGCGTTATGTTTTTATTTTCTCTACTTTTCTTCCTTCGTTGGCCACTCGTGGAGGAGCAACGTAGACGATATCCTGCTAGGTATCTTGTCAAACGAAATTACGGATGCACGCGTCGAGATGAAGACGACGTCGATGGCTGTGCACGTCGTCGACGTCGCCCCGTTTAAAGCCACGCGAATTAGCCTACTTATCCTGCTAGACGTTACAAGGCGAGCCAGTTTGCCCGAGAGGCTTGTCAAGAAGCTCGAATATTTTTCTGCCGGTGGTCTCACGTGGACACGTTCTCTTGTACGTTCCAGGACGATCATCGCGGCTTCAGGAGGCAGCTGGAGGACAAACGACCGATCGTCGAGAACAACCTGCTGAGCGGACGACAGTACATCGCCAATGAACCACCGCTGTCGGACACGTCGGATTCTGAAGGTAAGTTTGTGGTTTTTGTGTTGAAGAAATTTACGTCGTAAGGTAGCAAAAAGATGTAATATCGTGCAGAATTTATCAGTCTCGTAAATTAAGAGCAAAGCTAAAATTGGCGACGGGATTCTTCAAAGTAACGGGTTGATATCAAGAAAATGCCCAAATTCGTTCATTGAGGAATAAAAATTTAATTATTAGGCACGTTACGAAAAGGTACCATGTAGAAACTGAAGGTACAAAAAGTAAAATTAGAATTGACGACAGGATTTTTCAAAGCAAAGGGTTAATATCGCGAAAAAGCCCCAAATTCGTTCGTTGCGGAATAGAAATTCAGTGCCATATAAAAAATTAAGTTGAAAAAATAATATTAGGACTGACGACAGAATTTTTCAAAGCAAAGGCTTAATACGAAGAAAGAAGCAAAGATTCGTTTATCCAGGAATAAAAATTTAGCGAACAGGTGCCGTACAGAAAGAGAAGCTAGAAAAGGTAAAGCTAGAATCGCCGACACGGTGCTTCAAAGTGAAGCGTTAACATAAAAAAAGCACCGGAAATTCGTTTATCGAGAAATAAAAATTTAATCACGCCGGCACGCTGCGATCAGGTGCTACGCAGAGAGCTGCAATTAAGAATGAACGAATTATAAGATGAGATAAATTACGGAAGTTGCGAGGTAATTGAGAAATACGTGACAGTAGAAGGACAAGTATTCCCGTGCAATTATAAAATATTTTCTTAAATGGGACGTGGATTCATTTATGAAAACGCCTTCAGAGAACGTCAAAGCTAATTAGTCTGAAAACGTGCGAATATTTCCCCCATTTTCCTTAAGCATGTCCCCTTTTATATATTTACCAGAGTTGTAATTAGGGCTTGGATCAAGAAACCCCCGGGGAGGCAATATCGAAATATCAAAGTCGCGGCGAGTGGTTGGAAAAATAATTGTGTTGCTTCTAATTAAAATCGAACCCCCACTTTTCCAAACCGTCACCGCCCTTCTCCCCCTGAAAGAAATATGTTTGAACGCTTTACGAGCACTTCCCCGCAGAAATAACCAAGTTCGAAGCGCTTTAATGCTGTTTAAAGACTTCGTAAAGCCGGGTAAAGCTTTGTGAGGCTGGGTTTAACGACCCCAGTCACCGATTTAAATGAAACGTTCGGTAAATGGAGTTAGTTGTCCAGGTGAAACAATTCAACCCTTTCGTCGTGGAAATCGCGGAAACAATCGTGAATTCTTCTGAACGAAAAACAAACTGGAGAATCTAGGTCTAGCAATCGTGTTACACGGAGTAATTCTCATTCGTGAACTACGATAGAATCGTTACACGAATCCCTAGAAGAGGAAGGAAAAAGGAGAGGAATTCGTTGCATCGAAGCGCGATTCACGACGAAAATTGCCGCGCGAACGAACGAAAAAGGTGTGCAGAATCGCGGACGGGGAGTGTTGGTAAGCAGCGCGACGAAAGTTCTCCCGCGAAAGGGGTAAAGAAAAGTCGGCCAAGTACATTCGTTAGTTTCCGCGAAGCCGGCCGGCAACGCGCGACTGAATTCGCCAATAGCGCGCAGGCCTAGTAATTAAGAGGCGCGGCAGAGCTTTCAATTCCAGTAATTCGTGGCATTCTTCTTTCCGTGATTTTTCATACCAATTAGACCCGAGAGAAAAGGGACCAGAAAGGAAGAGGTGGAGGTAGGGGGGTGTGCACCGATCGGCTCGAAGAAGAATTCAGACTTCTCGGTGTAGTAAGTTCGAATGCGGATAAGAAAGACGGAAGAGAGGCTTTCAGGATATTGAGAAGTATGTTCGTTTCAGGGTGCGTTGACCTGTGCTTTGCTTATACCACGCTTCGAATATTACCAGTGAAAACTTGCGCAGCGTGTATGGCCAATAGGTAGAATAAAGTTAGATCGCTCCAGCGTATTCTGAATTATCGTCGAGAAATCTTTATCCTATTTCTTATAGAAACTCCGTCAACTGTCGTAAAAATTCAGAATTCAACGAGAGATTTAGCCGATCCGATCTTCATTTTCTAAATTTTTCCGACTGTTCAGAGATGGTTCTTTCCCCCAATCGATCGTTTATTCGTATTGCTGTTTCACCTGCTCTAAGGCCGTCTTCGAACTCTTGTATTTTCATCGTGTGAAGAAGGGAACCAGAAGAAAAAGTGAAAATGGGGAAAATATCGAACTCCTTTTCGACAGAGCTACGAAATTGGTACGAGAGTATGGTTTTCACCGTGTCTGTTTTGGGGTCAACGTTCAGGATTGAAGGTGGAGAGTGTGGAATGGGCGAGATTGATTAAAGTTGTAGTTTCAAAGGGCGGCTCCTCGCGGGAGTTTGTCGCGGGCGGAATGAAGGGGATTGTTAAGTGGACTGATAAAATACGAGAAGTTTTCTCTTTCGCTTCCTCGTTTTTTCCTCCTTTTACTTAAGCCAACGGGAACAAGAGCGGCCCTTGGAAACGAGCTTCATTCGTTCTTGTCACCGGCTTTCACGTACAATAACCGCGGCGAACGTGTAACCGTGGTCCCTCTTGAATATTTCATTTAGATAATTCCGCCCTCTCGAAAGCGGGATTATTAAGAAACGTGAAACACGAAATTTATGGTTATTTGACCAAGAAGGATTCTTGGTTGGAGTTTCTTGCCGGAAAATCGGAGGATGGGCTCGTATATTAAGCGAAGAAGCAAAGCGTGGCCTGCTGCTTTCGCCGGACTATAATAGACAACGGGCGCCTTTCGTTTTCGTTCTCGTTCGAAACGATATGTGAAACGCGTTCTCCTTGATTCTTCGGTCTATCCGAATTATCTTCGTAGGGAAAATCGTTTTCTCGCTCCTCGAGGGAATCGATTTACCCTCTCATGGGCGCTATTAAACGATGAATAATGCAGTTTCGCGGTAGTCTGGGCGTCGAAACAAAAACTTCCGCGGTCAATGCTAACGAAAGCCACTCGGGGGAACCGCGAGACGGTATCAATCGAGTTACAAGTATCGAACTACATCGAAACTAGCGGAACTTTCCGGGTTTCGAAGAGGCGTCCCGCAGGACATCGAAACTTCCCCAAGTTTCTTCGAGAAATGTTGCTCGTTTTAATATCGACATCCCTTCTATTTAGCATTCCCAAAGAGAAAAAGAATGGAACGTCTGTTTCAGACGTCGAGACAAGTTGCTAGTTCTGCGGTACAAGTTGTAACAGAAGAGAGTTGAGATTATAGATTTCCGTGAGTGAACTGTAATTTTTGGCAGTTTTGTTTCTCCCTAATTTAGCACAGTAGATGGATCATGCTACTTTATACCTGTAGAGTATGAATTTGATGAAAACAGTATCGAGAAGATTCATAATCATCTGAAAACGTGGGTCTAAATGATCCCAACACAAATCTTATATATTTAACCCCTTGACGTATGATTTTTCTACCGACTCGCGTGCAAGAGTTAGGTTATGTTAACTATTCACAGTTTCAGCACTGTATTAGGCATTAAAGACTAAAGTGTTATAGCTTAATTAGATTTAGTAATCCTCACTCTCAGAAATTAAAGCGAAATTCGCAATTAAAATGAATTTCTATCGCATCTCGACCAGAATACGTTTCACGAGTATAACAGGTTGCCATGTTCCAAGGGGTTAATCGAAACACAACGTTCGATTCACGCTGTACAAATCTTACAGCTCTTTCAACTTCTTTACAGAGATCGGAAAATCATGGATGGAAACGCGTGCAGTCTGTTGGCCAGTCACAAATTGCGAATAGCCGGGGACGGATTGTGAGTCGATGTAACGGGGGAGGGGGGGGTTCGATTCGATTTCACGGGCCAAATCCGAGCAGCTGGCCAGGGAACTCGATAACAGGGAGCAGTTGCACGATCTGTGCTGCGATGCGGCGTGTTATATCGGTTGAAATTTATTGACGTTACGACAACGCCCGGGACTGCTCGATGCCGTGCACGTTTCATCGAACGTGACTCCCTGTCGAGTGACTGAAATCGTGCACCGACGTAGCGCCGGTTGTCTTCGCGCAGGAGGCACACTCGATGTTTCAGATCGAATTCAGGGATCTGTGGCTTCACCGACGATCTCTCTCTCTCTCTCAATCTCTCGGTGTCTATCTATCCGCTCTTCTCGTTGATTATCTTACATTGAGCACGGTCGTACGTGTTTCTGCCATGACACCAAGCGTGTTCAACATAACGATCGCGAGCCTCGAACGAATTGCACTTGCTCTTCTTCAGCTCCGCGATTGATGGATAGAGAATTTTCTAGTCATTTGTTACCGCGAGTGGAAAGCGGTTTGATGGATAAACTGTTTGTGCAACGATTTGCCAAGTGCTGTGTGGGATTTTCTCGAGCTTTAGAAAATCGTTTTCCTTCATCTTGGAGCGAGGTGGAAATCTTCTTGCGAGGGAAAAATGTGAGATTGTTAAAGAGAATTTGATAATTTGGAATAATTTGAATTTTGAAAAATATCGATTATCACGGAATTAACTGGAAAGAGTTATTTTCACGATTGGAAGGGTTTTCATGCTTCCTTGGGAAATGAAATATCGCGTGATAGTAAGATCGATAATGGTAATAACGCATTGCATGGAAGCTCGTTAATTGCGAGGCGAAAGAATGGGAGAACAGATATTTTTCATAAATTCCTTGGGCAGTTTGCGAAACGAAAGCCGGGAGAAAGTGGGGCGAGCAAAGAGGATCGGGGGATGAAAGGCGAAGGAGGGAAACGAGTCTGTGGAAGGTAGAAGAAAAAAGAAAAGAAGTGGGGAACTCGAGGGTGTACGTGACTGGAAATCGAATACGGCAACTGTTGAATGGATAGCTTACCGGTGAAGAACACGACCGCCTAATTCGATTCGGTGAAAATAGTTTTTAGGTGTTTTCCACCGTGTAGCCGCGATGTCTCTTTAGCGAGCCACGATCGGCCTGATTCAGACGACGTCTCTACCTGTTTCGACTTCTCAATCGTCTTCCTGGAATACGATTTTCTTACCCACCTGTCGATGTCCGTCGCGGACTCTGTCTTTACTATGCGCGTGGTGTGCCCTAGAACATAGTGCTTGGAGTACGTCCAACTAGACGAATGCGAGAGAATGTGAGAATGAGCTTGAAGTGGAAAATTAGAGAGATCGTTAATTTCAGCTCGGTAGAACAATCTTCAGAAAAATTTCGAAAAAGGTTACGAAATTTAGTAACTAAAATTACAAAATTTCATAATTAAAATTACAAAGTTAGAAAATTAGAAAATTACGAATTTAATTAATTTTTTTTTAATTCCCCGTACTTCTATCGGCTCATTTTTCGTTAAAACAAACTTTCCACCACGGTGACATAAAGTAGAAACGATTCCAAAGCGAAACGCACAGCGAGCATATCTAGGACGAGGCAATAATTTTCTCTTATCGGTAATAGACATCTTTCTGCCTTCGTATCGCCACGCATCACAGCGTGATTTTCTTCTCCCCTTTATCGCGAGTAAACACGAGAAAAAGGATCGAGCAACGTAAAAATCACCAAGATTAGCTTCTCCTTTTTTTTCCCCGCTCCTGTTTCGATACGTCGATCGATGAATCCCCTGGATCGCGGAGCCCCGGTGGTAACTGCGCAGAAACCGAGTGACGGGGTAAAGGGCAGCTGGCACCATAAACATAAATCATCATAACACGCGGCAGATAGGGCATGAACGAGCCAGGTAGCGTTGGTATAGGCGTTATCAATGCTAAACATGCGCATAAAAACTGTCCGGCATGATACGATGCGTGATTCATAGGACAATTAATTCCCAGTGATAGTGCGGCCTAGTCGTCGCGACGCCCATATACGGATACAAACGTGGTAACGTCATTTCTACGCTTCGTTACGTCCTGCGTCCTGCCATCGGGAATGGGAAAAACAAAAAAAAAAGGAGAGAGAGATTTCCACGTTGTACGATAAGCGATCAGATTTGATTCGAAAAACTAGAAATTGAAATAGAATTGAATGTTATTAATTTCCGCGTCAGTTTCCCCTGTACAAATTGATATGTAGCTTTAGGGATGTCGCAGAAATTGGTATGACTCCAGAGAATCATTAATAACAGAGAGCCGTAACGTCGGAGTTAGTAGTATCACGTTTAGTATCTGTAGTAACGGCGATATTGAAATCCATAACCTGAGAATAATGGAAATCGAATTGCGAATCTTGCGATGTTGCAATAATCGTTGTTATTATTGTCTGAATTATTTTCGCTGGTACCGAAAGTAGTAAAAAATTTTTATCTAAGATGATGAACATTTTTTTGTGTATTAATATCTACTTTTTTTTATAATGAAAGGTATATTATAAAATAGCGAGCAAAAAATGGGGATAACTTTAGAGCGACTTAACCCTTTCAGTGCTATTGGCGCTTTGAAAATTTGTTCGCATTGTGTTATTGGGGATTTTTGACGCACTTTTTATTAATTTAAGCCATAATTTTCTCCTCTGCACTTGTTGAGAATCGAACACCGGTTCCCGTTCGATCACCCAAGTCAAGATACACTGGGCGGCGTTCCATAAGAAGATGGGTGACCGCTCCACATCCGTCTCTGGAAAAGCCGTACTGCTGGTTTTATCGGGCTGAAATTTCACACAGACGTTAGTTCCATCCTTACTAACGTCTAGAAATTGTAAAAGTCCAACAGCAAAAATCCTTACCTCGCTCATTCTTCGGCTTGTTCTTCGGTTGGTGGTTTCGATGGAAAGTGGAAACCTGGTCTGATAGGGGTATAAGCTAATAAGCTGAGGCACCCTGAGTCCTTCTAAGGATGACCCACACTAGTTGTTGAGAGTCGAGCAAGCAATGACATCTGAGGGCAGGCAGCGGCAAAATAGTCGCGGTCTTTTGTTTTAGGGCCCTGTGGCCACGTGGCTCGCCTAGACGCGACAGTGTAAAATCTCATGTAGTGCGTTGTATGTCGTCTCATAAAGAATAAAGAATAGTTTAATAAATATGACAACACTCTTCCACGTTGATTCAGTAAGACAAATTTTAAAATGATTAAAAAAGAAATTTTGCGGCCGTTGTGGAACATCTGAGTCTGCCACGCGCGTTGTGCACTAAAATTTACCGCAGCGAAAGGGTTAAAGATGACTTTGAAGAGATTTTTCTTTCACGATCATCGGATGCGTGTCTTAATAATTTTTTTTTACTTTTGACGAAAATAATTTAAATGTCCGTTATAAACGAGACACCCAGTATGCACACAAAAACGAGTAAAAATCTTCTAAAATCTTCTGAAAACTGTCAAGAGGTGAGACCAGATCGAAAAATGTGAAATTTGATTTCCTTGGAAAATCCGTTTAAAAAATTGTAGGAAAGCAAGCTTCTCGTGTAATTACGAGGGACGTGAAATTTGGGAAATCTGTGGCGAACGGTCCCAAAAGCCAGCGAGATATCAGGCTCACGTTTGACGTTCTATTTCAGCCGGAAGAGAATTGGATGGTGATTCGAGGGGCTACAGAAGCGCGGAGGAGCAGGCACGCGAATTGACGCGCAGCATTCGCCGGGAAGTGAACAAACTTTCGGAGCAGTGGAACGCCCTAATCGAACGTAGCGATGCGTGGAAGCGGAAACTCGACGACACCGCTAACGTGAGTACTTTACCCTCCTTTTACCTACACAGAAAGCCACTTACCCTCGAACCGCACTACCCGATATGAATACAAATATTTTGATTCCGTCAAACGTTGTTGGCGGCCACAACCGCTCGAAGAACAGCTCGATTCTAACCGTCGACGTAGATGGCCTCTCGTTTCGATAAAATTGCCCGGCAATTTCGTTACGAAGCTTTTTTTTTGTTTTCGTTTCAAAAGTAAACGAAATTTCTTGTCAGCTGTGTGGAACCTAATTCATCGGTTGATACTTCTACTTTAACCCTTTTGGCACTCGTTTGTTCCACTTGAGTATGGAAGTAAAAATTGACCTCAATTTTGGATTTATTGCAGACGAAATCCGTGGATAAAGTTGACCCAAAATTTCGCTACGAATCTTTTTTTCAAAGTGCTCGAAATTTCTTGTCGTCTTTGTGGAATCTAAACAACCCTTTCGGGACACGTACGTCCCACTTAAAAGTGAAACCGAAAAATTTAATTGGAAGATAAGCAAAGAAGCGAAAAAGAAAACAATTTAGTCGTGAGAAGATTGATACAAAGTTCTTCGAGTAAGCTGCTTAGATGCTCGTTATCTGACAGTGTAGATTCGAATAAAAGTAGCTGTTTCCTGAATAACGAACCTCTTTCGTTTACAATTACGCTGTCACACGCGAATCGACGCGTCTTCTCTTACAAAAGGCAGCATCTCCCCTTACCGAGAGACTTCCGCTAGAATTATTCACGGTTTTGTCGTTGTACTTAACACGCCGCGAAGTTGAAACGCTGCGGCAACGCAAACTTTCGTTTAATAGTATTCGCCTAGTGGGAAGTTTGAATTGCACACTTGCCAGGCGAACGAATACGTTGCGTAGCGATCGTCACACTTAGAAATCCATTTAAACGCCGGAATATTATCGCAACACATTACGCTGAAACGTTTCAGCAACATCTTCGACGCTTCTCAAAAAGAGAATCTCGCAAAAATATCACCGCACCTTCCAAAAAAACAAAAGGAAGGAAAAAGACAAAGCACTACTCCAAACGAAAAGGTATAAATACTTTTCCACCCCTATTCGTGCACAGTGAAATATACAATGAACGTAACTTTAAAAAGTCTCCCACTATCGGTTAAAACTGTCCTAAATCGGTTGAATCGAAAGCACGAAGGCCATACCGCATTGAACAACGCGTTTCAGCCAACACGAGAAGAAAAATATTTGCCGAAACCGGGCCACCGCCGATCGTGGGAAAAACAATGGCTGACGATAATTCTCGGCCGGCGTTCTTCCTCCCTCCACGTAAAAATACAATCAGATTAAACGGTACATCTCGAAGGATAAACAAGTGGATGTAATATTTGAACTTATCGGGTGGTATCAGAAGGAGACACAGAGAGAGAGAGAGAGGGGAAAGAGGGAAAAAGGTGGTTGTGCGGTTCAATTCATCCCTCCCAAACCCTCCTCCGCCTGTCGTATCGCTTTATTATTGCCGGTACAATTTTCTCTATCGCGCGGACGTTCCATTTGTCGAAACGACTTTGTGCCCTGGAGGGAAAGCTAGCTAGAGGTCTGGCTAGCTCTGTGTGTATCGTGGCTGCACGCCGGAAAAGACGCCCTGGTGAAAAAAAGTCTGTGTACCAACCAGCACTGGTAGCAAGCGATTTTTCGTACTTCCACCGAAAGATCCGCCTTCTACACCTAACGACGTCGAAATTCCTCTGGACCGCCCACACCGTTCTTCCCTCCTTTCGCGATACACCGAATTACCTTCGTTCCCCGCGATACGCCTTTAATAGAACCCGGGAAATACGTGATTACCTTCGTCAGCGCGACAACCTGAGTGATTATCGACGCGGCTGCCATTGCTGCGACACGATTTCCAGGGATGCTGCCGGGTTTCTGGGGAAATGTTTGTGTTTTGTGTGCGATGTTGGGAAATTTGGAGTGAAGATAACAAGTTACGTTAGGATATTTAATTATGGAGAAATATCGATAGAAGTTGAATTTTTGGTATTCTGATCTTTCTTTTCACATACTTTGCATGGACGTTAAGTGGAGGAATAATTTTTTTTAATTATTGTGGGGTTTTTGGTATGAAAGAGAGAACGAAAGACGATTGTGCGTGGCGCATTTGTTTATGTTTAGACAATAACGGGTTGTCAAGCCGATCGCGGCGTGTATGAGTGTGTGTGTGGATGCGTGTGTTGGAGAAAAAGAAGAAGAGGACCTGTGTGTGTTTGGCCAGCGAACGAGAAGCATCGAACCGTAAATATTAAGAGAGCGAATTACAGTTTCTGTGACAAATAAGGATAATAATAGTGAACAGCACCGGCGACGCGTGGGGTACTTTTAATTTAACATACGTAAAAGGTAATCAACAAAATCCCACATTGTCGTTCGAATAAACGAACCCGTGAAAATGGCGAATTTCAGATTTCTCCCTTTAAGTCACAGGAATTATTAAGACTCTTTAACAAATAATTATATATGCGAATTTTGCCATTAATTGTTCTAATTTCGAAGTTCTTCGTATAGTACCCCTAAATATACCAAAAGAGTATATATAATAAAAGTAGCAGCGCTGAAAATTGCACCATCGGCGGTCCACATGGTAGAAAACGCATTAAGACAAATTCAACACAGAAGAAACAACACTTTTGTTCGTACAACCCAAAATTGACAGTATTGAAACTAACATTAGCGATAGATCGTTGGTTTTCCCCGACAATCCCCCCGAGAATTACTTGTAATCGGAAAATTTACGAGGCCCTTCTCTAAAAACATCGAAGAACAGTTTGCAAAGAGGCAACAAGCCTTGGTAAATCCCCGGTTCGAAGCATCCCGCCCGAAGCCGGAAGATTTATGACGGTGCGACGGAGGCCGCATTCGCGATGCATCGATAATCGCGTTCGATTCATCTGCCCGCGTCCGGCTCCAACGAAACTGGAAGTGTAAATCGGCCCTACATGGTCGCCGTGGTTTAACGTCGTCGTCGGTGGGACGCGTTTCTTCCCTTTTCCCAACCGCCTCATTCTGCTAACCCCTTCTTCTTCTCTCCCTTCTTCTTTTTCTTCACCGCGTTGAATTCTGATTTCATAAGCGGCTTTACGATTTGCATCTCGCTGCTGCTGCTGACAGAAAGCGAGAGAGAGAGAGTGGGTTGGTCGATGGGATGTCGCCAGTTTCGCGACATCATTCCGCCGGTACAATGGAATTCGTGATGCGTGTACGTAATATCGCCGCTTTTATACGCGTAGCGACGTTAACGCGCTCCGCTCGATAATATCGACGGTGTGACGCGAGTTGCCAACCTGAACCCTTCCTCTCGCATAACGTAATCGCCGCGCGTCCTCCTCCGCATTGCTGTGCAAATCAAACGAAATGTAAGTGTGAAGTATAGACGTTCCGAATTCTCGAAGCTTTTGCGAGGAATATTCTTTTGTTGTTTCCGGATGTACAGGCGTGGACGGGATAATTTATGTGGGTTTTAGAGGAATTGTTCAGCCGAACTCGCGACTCGAATGAATCGTGGGTAAAGAAGGGTTAAGAGCGCTGAAATGAGAGGTTGGCTCGAATGAATTCAATTTGAACGCGAAGAGTGTCGTTGCGCTGGTAATAAATTAGCGCCGTTAGGGCGGTATTACAATAATTGACGTAAGGTGGTAAAAAAGCACGCTGTTGTATAATTGGATACTTGGTTAATTGTACAGAGCTTGCAGCGTGGTGCTTAGTGTACAATCTTTTGCGCGATGCGTGTCTGTGTATGGTGATTGGGTAAATGAGATGTAATTAGAAAATTCTAACGGAAGGAGAAGCAAGGGTGAATGAGGTTTGAGAACTGGAGGAATATAGGAAAAACCTAGAAAAGGAAGAAGAATGGTAGAAATGACTAGGATGCGTCCTGACCTAGTTTTCTGGCAGGAAGGCAATTTTGAAATTACAAATCGAAGAGAATTTCTGCGAGCTGTAAAATTAAATCTGGAAATGTGTTTTCTACGCGTCGTTATGGCATAAATAATTGCTACGAGAAACATGATATTTTAAAACGACGTCATAATTCGTTTCTTAAAATTCTTCGAATTACGACATTACCAAACGATCCTACCGTGAAACTAGTGTTCTCAAGAGCCAACCACGGAGATTCAAACGCATTATTTCCAGCATAGTAGAGCGTCAAAGCGAGTAGAGTCGCGTGGAAAGGTCGGTCGGCTGCTTAACCCGGAACTTAACGAGTTCGACGAAGAAGGTAATAACTTCTTTTCAGCGGTGCTTAAAATAACATCGAGCCCGGCTGACGGAGGAATTCATCTTAATATAATTCGAGTGGGCCTGGCCATTCTCTCTCTCTCTCTTTCTCTCTTGCTCTCTCAGCTTGGCCGTCTTTTCCCTCGAAATCCGCGCGCGCGTATAACTGGTCCTTTGTCGACGACTGGTAAGCTTTCGAACCGGACGAGAAACGAAGAGTCCACTCGAAAACCACCGTTCTTCTCCCTCCTTTCTCTTCATCTGACCTCAACTTCACCACTTTCGAGCTTTCTTTCGCGAAACTTTTACACCGCGAATCTCGTGCATGCACAGTCCCCGAATGAGAGGACCGTTTTTCGTCCTAATTGAAACGAAAATGACATTTTCGCACGATGAAAAACGAACGGTCCAATCTCTCGTGCCTCTTGGCCCACCGCGGCGCACTTACACACAGACAGGGTCAAAGGTTTTATAATTAAAATGGAAAAACGTTTTCCATCGTCCCGCGATACGAGTATTCCACGATAAAAGCTAGCTTTGAGGGTATTTAATTAAAGAGATCGAGTGACTAAATGAACGGGATCCGTTCGGGGGAAGGGCGGAAGGTGTGTTGTTCGAAACAATTAGGGGATGTTTCTGTGGAACGTGTAACTTATAAGGGGTTGTAATTATTTTCGGCAACCTTTCCCGTGCAAATTTATCATACCTATATTTTTTGCGCCTCTGCTGTGCAGTCACAATGAAATATGACAAAAG